GCAATCATTGGCTAAGGAGCGGTCAGATGAATTCCGCCCTCAGTCGGCTGGTGAACATGTAGACATCGTCGTGGACGACTCTCGCCCTGAGAGAACTGTTAAGGTCGGGACGACTGCTTTTGCTTAACTTGGTGCTGACCTACACCAACTGCTAAGGGAATTCAAAGATGTATTTGCATTTGAAGTTCATGAGATGCCAAGCATAATCCCGGATCTGGCCGTACATAAGCTTGCTCTGGATCCCAAAAAGAAGCCAGTCAGGCAAAAAAAGAGGAACCATGGTGAAGAACGAAGCCAGGCGGCAGCCGCCGAGGTTAAGAAATTGCTGGACACAGGATTCATTCGACAGTGTTACTTCCCAGACTGGGTAGCGAATGTAGTACTTGTGAAAAAGTCGAATGGGACCTGGTGCATGTATGTAGACTACACAGACTTGAACAAGGCATGCCCCAAAGACAATTACTCGCTCCCAAAGATCGACCACCTGGTCGACTCTACAGCCGGCCATGCCTTGATGAGCTTCATGGACGCCTACTCAAGCTTCCATCAGATACCCCTGTGGAAGAAAGATCAAGAGAAGACGGCATTCGTCACAGATCAGGGGTTGTTTTGCTATACTGTCATGTCGTTCGGACTAAAGAATGCGCCTGCCACCTTCCAAAGAATGATAAATACGGTCTTCTTCAACTAGATGATATGATTGTTAAATCTAAGATCTGGACGAACCACCTAGCCGACCTCCGAGAAACATTCACCACACTCAGGCGGCACCAGGTCATGCTCAATCCCAAGAAATGTGTTTTTGGTGTTGAGTGTGGGAAGTTCCTCGGATTTCTAATTAATCAAAGGGGGATAGAGGCTAATCCCGAGAAGGTATAGGCGGTCATAGACATGCAGTCGCCCCGCACTGTCCGAGAGGTGCAAAATCTTACGGGTTGCCTGGCGGCATTGGGGAGGTTCCTCAGCCGGTCGGGCGACAAATGCCTTTACTTTTTCCAAGCTATCAAGAAGAAGACCATGTTTGAATGGGGGCCGGATGCAAAGGCGGCCTTCCAAAAGTTAAAACAACATTTGCACTCCTTGCCAAGGCTGGTCAGCCCTCTACCCAAGGAAGTACTATACATATATTTAGCAGTCTTTGACCATGCCCTTAGTGCCGTCCTCCTTGCTGAAAGGGACGGCTTCCAGCTCCCGGTCTACTTCATCAGTCACGTCCTAAAGAACGCCGAGTTATGAAACCCAATGGTTGAGAAGTTTGGACTTGCCCTCTTCATGACAGTTAAAAAATTGAAGCCTTATTTTCTGGCATATCCGGCTGTGGTCTACACCGACCAGCCAATCAAGCGGCCACTGACAACCATGGAGTCGTTAGGCCGAATGATCAAATGGGCCATCGAGATCCAAAGTCTAGTGATCACTTTTGAGCCAAGGAAAACGGTGAAGGGGCAAGCATTCGCTGACTTCATAGTGGAACTAACCAGGCCGACTGATCCTGAGAACTTTGAACAAGTTTGGAAAGTCTATGTGGACGGGAGCTTTACAATGAACGGTTGTGGAGCAGGCGTCATATGTCAGTCCCCTGAAGGGGACAGGTACGAGTACGCACTACTATTTAAGTTCCAAGCCTCGAACAATGAGGCGGAATATGAAGCCCTTTTGGCTGACATCCGCATGTGTAAGGCGGCTGGGGCAAGAAAGATAGCCGCCTGTTCTGACTCACAACTGATTGTAAGCCAATACCATGGTGACTATGAAGCCACACATTCGGCTATGATCAAGTACCTACAAGCGGTAAAGCAGGAGGCCATGACACTTGAAGAATTTCACATAAATCAAGTGCCCAGGTCCGAGAATAACCAGGCGGACACCCTCTCTAAACTGGCATCATCAACTTCCTGCGACACGCCAAGGACGGTTTTCTGGGAAGTAATGGAGAAACGAAGCATCGAGGAGGACCCCATTGGGATCCTAGACAGAAGCTCCACCTGGATGGATGACATCCGGGCATACCTAACAGATGGCACCCTACCGGCTACTCACTCTGAGGCGGTCCTGCTGAAAAAACGGGCGTCCAACTTTGAAATGCATAAAGGGGAACTCTTCAAAAGGGGCTATCTCCAACCTCTCTTCAAATGTGTCACCCCGGAAAAGGGGCGAGATATCTTAGAAGACTTGCACTCGGGATACTGCGCCTCCCACGTAGGCGGCAGGTCCCTAGCTCGTAGAACCAGGCGACAGGGATATTTTTGGCCAACCCTGGAAGCAGACGCTATGGAGATGGTGAAAAAATGCGACAAGTGTCAGAGGTTTGGCAAGCTAATCCATCGACCGGCCACTGATCTGACGACCATACATAGCCCCTTACCATTTGCCAAGTGGGGCATGGACGTCTTGGGTCCGTATACACCCGCAACAGGAGGTCGGAGATACATCCAAGTAGCAGTCGACTACTTTACCAAATGGGTAGAGGCTGAGGCTGTCAAAGGTATCAAGACCAAGGACGTTATCTCATTCATTTGGAGGAACGTTATTACACAATTTGGGGTGCCCATGTCAATGGTCTTTGATAATGGTCCTCAGTACGAGATGCCTGTTCTCAAGAACTGGCTGGGGGATCAAGGAATTGCATACAACTTTGCATCAGTTGGCCGACCCCAAGCAAACGGCCAGGTAGAAGCGTTCAACAAAATTATCCCTGACGGTATCAAGAAAAAGATTAAAAAAGCAGGCGGCCTATGGGCAGACGAACTACCACATGTTCTCTAGGCCATAAGGACGACTAAAAAAGGGGCGACTGGCGAAACCCCATTCCTCCTGACCTATGGGGAAGAAGTTGTTCTACCCATTGAGCATTACGAGCCGACCCTTCGTGTCATGTTGTATGACGAGGCGGCCAATTGGGAATCCATGCGCCTAGCATTAGACTCACTCCCCGAGCGTAGGGGCAACGCAGCCCTACGCCATGAGATTTACCGTCTGAGAATGACAAAAGCTTATAACAAGAAAGTACGCAGGTGTCCACTGAAAGTGGGAGACTTTGTACTACGGAAAATGGAAGCAGTCGGTAGGGCTAATGAGTTGGGAAAGCTAACTCCCAACTGGGAAGGACCCTACCGGATCTATGAGGAGGTTAGAGATGGAACCTATCGCCTGGAAACACCAGACGGCCGGCTCCTACCTAGAACATGGAATGTAGACAATTTGAAGAAGTATTACTTCTGAATGATGTAATTGTTACAAGGGTTATTAATAAAACTTGCAATTATTTCAATACTTTGTACTTTTATCAGAGGGGCATGCCGCCTGTAAATTTGCAGTCGGCTACTCTCCAATATGTATTTTACTCTCATTAGAAGGGCATGCCGTTTGAACATACAATCGGCTACTCTCCAAAGAAGAGGGCCGCCTGAACCTAAAACAGACGACTACTCTCCTATACTCCAAAGTCTAAGGTAACTTAGCATATACGTTCACCATGAACTAAACAAGGCCTATGGCCGGATGATCATCCCAGGCGTCAGGCCGACTAATCTTATCTAAAAATTAAACTAATACGACCTGTCCCAACAGTATAGCAGGCGTCCGGCGACATCCCTCCGGATAAGATTCGTCGCAGAGAGCAGCTCCCTTTTGGGTGGAATAATGCTCTATAAACCACAAACAAACGGACCCTAACGATTGTCCTCAAGGACAACCCCGTACCCGTTTACACTTGAGACAAAGATAACTACTACTACCCGAACCAGTGGTAGTCAGTTCACATCTAAGTCGGATGACCGCCTGTCATTACTTGGGATAAATGCGGACAGTACCTTTTGAGTTAATAGCCAAGAAAAACTTGGCGAATCAAGGGGACCAGCCGGTCTACGTCGCCTGGTACCTCTACTACTCAAATCAGTGGCAGAGACTGAGTAGCCCCGAGGGAGACTCATAGTCACACAGTCTAGTTTGGAACCTAAAAGGAACAAGAACACTTGTTTTTTGGCAAACAAGTGTACTTGGCCACTATTCCAACTAGGTCCACCAATGCAGGCGCAGTTGTACAAATCAGGCGCCTCATCCACATGAACAGGCAACCTGTCTCTACCAAACATCAATGCCTTGTAAAACTGCTGAAACATTTTGGCATAATTTGGGTTACTAGCCAACGACACTTGGCGAATAAAGGAAGTCAAGTGGCCGTTCATTACTATTCCATCTAGACCTAATAAGGGAACCTCTATAGCTGATGCAGGCAGATCCCATCAAAACAGGCGTCCCGTTTACAGATGGTCTGTTTCCATCAAACTTGGAAAACAATTAAAATAAAAATAGGCGCCCAGCTACCTAAGTAGCGCCCTTATAAGAACAACGCCAGGCCTACTGAAATAGGACGACTGTTCCTGAACTAGGCGGCTACCACAATGGTCCAAGGCTTGGGGAACCCTGCTAAGATCTTGGTATTTAGCCCCTCAACTACACCTACTACGACCATTGCTTAAATCCCTCAAGACAGCCGCCTGTGCCCAAGCGCAACCAACAGGCGGCCTGGTTAATGTTTCTAAAATAATCCAAGTCTGGAAAGTCTTCTATCCTAATCTTTCAAGGGAAGGCCGACTGAACTCATGACCGACTAGCTGATAAAGAAACAATCAATCGGCTAGGGGCAACAATATCAATCGGTTGGGACACCCACTAAGATGTCTTCTATACTTAGCAACATTCAAACATTCAAAAACATTCAAATGGCAAATTTTGATGCAAAAAGGAAGACAACAAGCAAGAATAGTCGGCATGATAAACAAGCGGCTATTAAAGACATTCTACACTTGGAAAAGGGAAATAACAAAATTAAGATTGCTGGACAAGATGACTAAACAGTTGCCAAAATTCATTCATAAACAGCGGGCCATGGAGGCCGGCAAAAATATTCATAGACCCCGACCCCTTGGTCAGGTAAAAAGATACAAAAAAAAAAGAAGACGACACGCAGGCCGAAGAAGAGTTGAAGAATAAGCAGCTTAAGCATTGGAGAGAGGGGTTTCAGTAACATCGGCCGCCTGATCAGCTTCGGCAATGGGCGCCTGCTCCTCAAGCACACGCTCTTGTGGCTCATTAGGCGGCGCCTGTTCTTGGTTGGCGTCCACCTCCTTTTTCTCAGTCTCCCCATTGTTGACGTCCGCCTCCTCCTCCTCTCCATCTTCATCCTCACCTTCAGAAGAGGAGTCGGTCGCCTCATCCTTCGCTTCATCCTCATCGTTCGCCTGCTTCATAATCTTGATGTTATATTCTTCAGTGCAGGCGGTGAATTTGGACTCCCATTGCTCATAGTCTGAGTCTGGGAAGAGGGCAGTCCAGGTCATCTTCATGATGGCCGAAGAGTCCTCCATCATATCTTGGGCCAGGGCCATCTTCTAGGACTCAGCCTTAGCGCTGAGTTGCTTGGTCAGGGCCGCCTCTTGGGTTGACAGGCGCTCCTTGAGTTTCTGGTTCGACTTTTTATGCTCTTCGGCCGCATGTTTTGCATGCTTCAGCGGCTGCAACTGGGTTTGAAGGTCCTTAACCGCCTTCTCCAGCTCCAAGTTTTTCTTCTTGGCCGCCTTTAATTCGGTTTTGAACTGCAAGGTGGCAGTCGCCTGATAATACAGAATGTCAGTTGTCAAAATCTCATTTTGAGCAATTTGAAACATTGCCCGGTCACAATCAGAGGCGGTCATGGCCTTCGCAGCCTTTACCTCCTTGTTCTTTTCGTTGATGAGTCGGCGGAGACCATGAACACGAAGCAAGGCCTGCGAATCAACAAAATAGGCGTCAAAATTTTCCAAGAAACAGGCGGCACTTAAATGCAAATGTTGCCCAATAAAGAAAAATCATCAAGTCTACCTCAGAGAGTAGACCCATGATAGAGTCCAAGTCAAGGGTGTCGACTCCCGTGACTGATTTCCTTCCATCTGAGGGAATAATTGACCATAGACTTGGCCATCTGGACCAAGTCCGGCTCCTGATGACCGCCTGTAATAGAAAACATGGAAAATTAGACAAAGGGAAAGCAACAGGCCGCCTGATCTAGGAAAGATTGACAAATTTAAACCAATTATACCTCTTGGAGGCCGAGTGTCCCTAGGGACGGTTGTTTGTTTTGACCCACTTTGAGGGGTCCGCGCCTGCTTTTCAGCTGGTTGTTTCCTAGTAGAACCAAGCGTACTCCTAGCCGTCTGTTTTCGAACCTTGGGTTTCGGCTGCTGGGAGGGAGATAATCTGGGTGCCCCGTCCTGTGACAATAAAAAGTTATTAGTATGGTAGAAGCGGGAAAGCACAAAGAGTTTTTACAAGTGTGGGAAGCTCACCTTGGACTTCTCCTTTGAGGGAGAGTCGGTAGAGGGCCTCCTCTGGCCAATAATAGCCGCGTGAAGAAGGGCGGCCGCCTTCTTAGAAGCAGAGATTTTGTTTATGGATTCACCTACAAAATGCATCACAGAGTTAGTAAAAATTCAAGCAAAACAAAAATGCAAGAACATAAAAAGAGCCGACTACCTCTAGTGGTCCGTTCGCTTAGGCCACAGGCAGCCAGGAAATACTCATCATACAACCAATTGAATTTTATGCAGTTCAGGGGGATTAACTCTCGTACCCCTGTAGCAAAGTTGGCTCTGATCTCTACTTTGAAGAGACCTTGATCAAGGATCTCCTCCTTGACTTTACGAGGAACAGGCGACAGGCTAGAGTCGCCTGCGAGGAGAGGTGGATCCCTGATCCACCTATTATACCTCTTGTTGAGAAGATTATTGGGGCTAGAAACAATGAAAAAGGTGTTCCTCCAGTCTTGTTCTCCTTCCCCCTTGTCATCAAGTAGCCCTTATGGCTGGAAATCTGGTACCAGCCGGTATCGCTTGCTTTTGGGGTCCAACTCAGATAGTTCATTTGGGAAAACGCTGCAAAATTTGGTTCAACCCCATACATTTCACAGCCGGCCACAAACCCCATACAAAGTTTGGGGCCAACTGCCAGAGCCCCACCTGGTACCCATCCAGGATTTGTTGAATAGCCGGATGCAAGGGGAATCTTAACCCAGCCTTAATGGTCGCCTCATAGCACCCAAAACAGGCGTCCCCATAGCTAGGCCCCTCATGCCAGACTACTATATCTTCAACATCCGACACTATTAGAAAATAATCAGGACCCATTACATGGTCCGCCTGAAATGTCCCTAGTCTCTCGGTCATGGCTTTAATCCTGCCTTTGGGGACATGGCAATAGTAGGGGGTGTTCAACTCCCTATGAGAAGAAGACGGCCCTGCCCAGCCGTCCCCCTTTCCGATAGCATGGGAAGCCCTCGCCTCATGAAGACGAGAATGCCTCTCTTCTGAATCCGGGGAATGCCGGCTAGATGAGCTATACTCAAAGTCACTTGAACTCTCAGAAGAGGCCGACTCCTCTTTCTCAGAAAGGACCGGCTCTAGTCCTGACATATCAACAAGCATAGGGGTGGCCCCCTGAACCTCCTCAGATTCTCCTAAAATTGAATCACTCGGAGTGCTTGGGACACCAGACAGCTGGTCCGAGAGCTCGCTCATCTGAACATAATATGAGGAGTCGTCTGAATTTGCATATCTGGCCATCCTCTTTGTTCTGGCCATAGTGTCCTGCACAGACACAAAGACAGTCGGACTTGTAGCACAGGGCAGAGATTGGTCCAAAAAGGGGCAGGCGACACTCCTAGTCCTAGATTCAGCCGTCCCCGGTGACCGACTAATCACTAACCTAGGTTGTGCCGGGTGCTTTTGGGATACCATATCTTCAAAAGAAAAATGCAAAGAAATGAAAAAGTGCAAGAGCAAACGGTTACCTGAAGATTGGAAGTTCTTTGAGAAAGGAGATGGAAGTCTAAAGCAGCCGGTCTCCACAAACATTTGGCTAGCGCAAACAGTCGGATGAATAACAGTTGTCCAGAAAATTTTGGAGCTTAAGTTCAGAGGTTCTGAGTTCTCTTGCAAAGTTCACAAAATGTGAACAAAAGACTTGGTAAACATGCCCTTATATAGGGTTATTCGAGAATTTGAAGGGTCACACCCTAAATTCAAAAATAGGCGGAAAAAAACAGACGGCCTACCACAGGTCGACACTTGTCACAGGCCGTCGACACTTGTCACAGGCATCACGTGACAAGTCACGTGACCCCTGTGAGGGGAAAATGTTTAGGGCACTTTTCCCCGCCACGTGGACCAGTCAGCACCTGCCATGTGGACCATTCAAGGGCTGCCATGTGTCATGCTCAAAGAAGTCCAGCATGGACCAATCGTGTCACGCCACGTGGCCTACTATCTGCCAACCAGATCACTTTTACTTTCCGCACCTTTTACTCCTTAAACACGTTCTAACTTGATCGTCGGAGGCAGAGCTCCCACCAACCGGAGTTTCCGTTGTTTTGCAGGTACAGGCGCACGAATCCAGTCCCGGAATTGTAATTCTCTCGCAAGACATCAAAAAACCCCGAAACACTACCCATTAACGTTTTACATCCAAAAAACCGTTAGTGGGCCCCACATTGTACACATGCCAATTCTTTATTGGATAAAAAAATGAAAAAAATAACAAAAAAAAAAAAAACTGAATCCCAAACCCTAGCCACCAGCCCAGCTGCCGGCGGTCCCGAAACCCCAGCCACCAGCCTCCACCCCCTTCTCTCTCGCCGCCGATGTCGGCCCCCTCCCCTTCCCCTCCTCTTCCCAAACGCACAAAAACGCCATTAAAGCTCATGCATGAAAGCTTGAGAAACATCATTTCTTCACCAAATTTTATTAAACTTGTACCAAAATGTTCGCAATTCAACATACAATCAATTAGAGCAAACAATTTTGTGAATTGCTTCACCAAACAAAAAAAACCCCAATTTAATTTTTTAGGGTTCTTCACAAAAATTGGTGGTGATTAGAGTTTAGGCTGGTGGTAATGGTGGTTGTTTTTTGTTGTGGGTTTTCCAGTGGTGAGGGGAATGGGGTTGCTCGATTCCGGTGGCCGGTGGGCAGTGGGGATGGGGTGGTCAGGGAAGGAGGGTGGGGTTGGGTTTTGATTTTTTTTTATCCAATAAATAATTGACACGTGTACAATGTGGGGCCCACTAACGGTTTTTTGGATGGAAAACGTTAATGGGTAGTGCTACCCAAACTTTTTCAAACTTGCGGGTAGTTCTAAACAAATTAAAATTAAATGGGTAGTTGTTCACAAATGACCCTATCTTGTGGGTAGTTCTAGAAAAAATTCCCTAAAATAAATGCAGTTTTTGATTAGGAGTCACCTTACTCAACACGTGTTGGTGAGCAAAAATTCCAAGTACCCAACATAGGAAATGGAATTAATTAGGAGTGGTGGTTTTAAAATCAAATATGATCCGGTTTAGGAGTGGCAATTTTAATATTGAATACGATCTGGGGGGTTCCAATTCTAGGTAAAAGAAATTAAAAATTGATTCCCTATTTTCAAATATCACAATTGATTGAACGCAATTATCTGACATATAATACTCCCTTCGTAATAGTTGTATTAGTTCAACTAGCACATTTATCAATATACGAAGTATAAGTTTAACCATAATGCAAATGTGTATTTGTAAAAGTTATAAAAATGTGATATAGTTTTTGAATTTTGAAATGCACAAGAGTTTTAGATAGAATCCAACATTTTAGTACTTCAAAATTACCACAAACCAAGCCTTTTTCTTATAATTGTTAAGCATAGAAATTTCGGCTTCTTATACCTTACCAATTGCGCCTTCTAAGGGACAAAATTAAAATAATAAGTACACAAAAAATCAATCCTTTTAATAAATGTCAACTAACTTACTTAATGAAAGTATTGAAAAGTGCGTGATACTCAAAATTTGAGATCAAATCCTTTTAACATTACTATTTTTACGGCTCTTTTTACACCAAATAAAAGGTCAATTTTTTCAATTCAATTTACCACAAATCAAGGGTCGATTACAGACATAATAATAAAAAATTAAAAATATATTAATATTGTATCAGATCTTATACATAAGTATTTACCATATAGAATTATGAAATGATTACATACATACCCTTAATTAAAAGTACAATAAAATCAATCAATCTAAGCATTAGAATCGAAGGAGTAGTATATTTGTGTGCCAAGTGCAACCATCACTAATATTGCTACACCCATATTTATCAATAGTTGACCTTTTGTATCACTTTTACCATCATCATTTCCATAATTTTTATCCATTTCATGAAAGTTCATCTTGTCTAGATCAAGAGCATCAACATACTTCTCATGTTTCTCTTGTACTTGAGAATTAGCTGCCTTGTATTTTTCATTCATCTCTTTGTGATCTTTTGTAACTTTTGATTTAATATAGTCAGAAATTTGTTGGTTAGTGCTACCTTGGTTGTTTGGAGATTGCTTTAAATCAATTGGAGGCTTCACATGTGGTACATTTGCTTCTTGTTGTATTTTGCGTTGTGGGTTAATATCTTCGCCTTTTCCGGGTATCGAAGATGGTGGACTAACACCTTTTCGAACCGTCGGAGTCTTTTCTACAGTAGTTGGCATAGTAGGTTTCGAAGATGATTCATCTTGAAACTGAGGTTGAGGGTTTTGTTGTAAACTAGGGTTTGGTACACTCGATGTAGTAGGAGGTTCTTGAAATGTTGCACGAGTGTTGGGTTGTTTTTCAACGGGAGTTTCCTTATTAATGGTAGTTGTCTTTTTTGGCATTGTAATAGTAAGAATTCCACCTTCAAACTTTGCTCGAATATCACTCATGTTACAATCTTTTGGAACCATAGCTTCCTCTTGAAACCGACTCCATCTATTACTGGTAACGAGACGTTCTCCCCGAACTCTTAAAATCCCGCTACTTTCAGCTACAATTCTGATTTGTTCTTTAGCAAATCCTACAATTCCCAATATGTATTTAGTAATAAGTTAATCTATGACTATATGTTTCTTTATGTATAATTCATAATATGTAATTAAAGAAGATCGTGTGAATAGTGTTAAATTTACAAATGGTGCAATATTTTTAGAGCGCGGAAAGTACGTTAAGTAATAAGATTATTTTGTAAAAATTTTCAATAAGGTACATATCATGAGCTTGCACTTTGGACCTTTGGTATGGGTATGTGCGTTTAAGTATACTTTAAGGTGTTCTCAAAAAAAAAACAAAAAATGTACTATACTTTAAGGTAGCTTTGTTTCTACTGCCAAAAAAAGAAAGGTAGCTTTGATGATAAAATTAAAAAAATAAATAAATAAATAAAAAATGAGGAGAGTACACTTTAAGCAAGGTACGTTTTATTTTTTAAACCAAGTACCTTTAAATGGTATATGAATTTGTAATTTAGCCTTAAGTGTGATATTAAACAACATAATTATTTTGGTTTTTAACTAGCTCTTCCAATTTGACATGCAATTATTCACATACGATTCCCTCTAACACTCTTTGACCATGTTATATTATTACTTGTATTACATTACGTAAAACAAAGGTCGATCATAATGTAAATTAAGAAGTATTCTCGTCTTTTTTTAATTATTACTTCACTATATGATCAAAATTAAATAATTCAAACTGTCTACAGTGATTTATATAAATTATTTATGAGGGACAATTAATTGTAACAGCACCATCTATGCATAAAGTGTACACAACACAAGCCAAAAATATTAAAGGTATACACAACAACACAGGACAAAATATTAAGGGTGCAAACAACATTACAAACTTCGACAAATGGTGCATGCAATGAGCCAATGACATATACTAAACTATGTTGCCATCAATAATGGCTACATGTATGATAGTTCATAATTAAATATGTAATGAAATTAAGAACTTTTATATTAAAACTGACTTAGGCTCGAATCATGATCAAGGTGTGTTATATTCATGTGATATATACTTACCTAAACTTGTTAATTCGAACTTTTTTTTTGGTATAAATTGAAATTGGGTAGCCCTTGCAGACCCTTATTAAAAGTCATTTGAATTTATTTTTCCTAAACTTATCTTATCTAAATTTATTTACTTTTATTTGAAGTTATCCAAACTTTTCTGAAATATGGTCAACAAATTTAGGCCTAATTTTAACCAAAAAAATTAATTATACAAATTGTCATTATCAACAAGTCCATAGCCAAACTACCCACTCCTATGTATATCCTTAAGCGTTAAAACATTACACTACCAGACATAAATAATTCTTCTTTGTTGCAAATAATAAGAAACAGATGTAGTATAGAAGGAAAAAAAATAAGAATAAGAGATGTTACCCCCTTTATTCCTTTTTTACTTTAGGCTTTGAATAAGATGGTCTCCAATGGACGCCATTAACCACGAATATATATTCAATAAAATTTGAGTAAAATTTCTTATTAAATTTTCAAATATATCTCTGGTCAAATATAGCAGATCCTCACATGATATAGTGAGGTTTATAGTCAAATTTTTCAAAAGTTGACCAAAAAAATTCAATTGTAAAGAATAAAAAAGAACGAATGAATTACCAGGCAAATGGTAAAGTAGTATAGAAGCTCCTTCTTCATGCTTCCATTCGAAAGTTGGCTTAAAATCTTCATACACTGGGGTAGCACTTAATCTTGAACGTCTAGCCCCGGTTCCTGTGCCTCTTGGTCTCATGTTCATCGCACCTTTATTCTATAAGATATATGCAACTCAAAGCGTCTTATGAACGTGTTCAATTCGTACTAACAACAAGCAACTGCCTTAACTTACGATGATTTTTTTAGTATGGTGCTAACAAATTGTATATGAAAGAAGGTATTCATGCCTTGGGGTTTATATATATGCATATTGTACCATGTAAGTTGTTGTCACAAGAATATGTGTACATATTTTGGGGTTATCCTATGAATGAAACAATACCAATTTCTTTGGGTTGGTTTACTAGGTAACGTTTCTTAAGCATTAACTTAGTTTTATTTAGGTAATAATACTTCTTAACTAATAGTATAAGTATTCCTTCGTTAGGAAGATGTGATATTTATGTTTTGATTCATTTCTTAAATGAATATTCTTTGTTTGATATTCACACTTTGATAATGCTTGTCATTTGGTAAGCTAACGGTGATCCATTTCGTATTATGTAACACTCCTAGATTACAAGTCATGTCTAGGAATATCCATGAATAAATATCATATATTTCCAAAGTTTTTTGCGGCTGGCCTTTTAGGCTTTTACTATTATGTTAACAAAATTGTCTCTCGGGATCCATTAATCAATAAGGCCCAGTTCACTTCACCTTAAAAAAATAATATTCAGTAAAATTAATTTTAATTCAGTAAAATTAATTTTAATTCAGTAAAAATAATTTTAGTTTAGCAAAAATAATTTCAGTTCAGTAAAAATAAGTACAGTTCAGTAAAAATAATTTCAGTTCAGTAAAAATCAGTAACCTTAAATAAGAAATACAACAGAGAATCAGTAAAAATAATTTCAGTCCAGCAAAAATAATTTCAGTTCAGTAAAATTAATTTCACTTCAGTAAAAATAATTTAAGTTCAGCAAAAATAATTTCAATCCAATAAAAATAATAACTCCTTCGTCTTTATTCATTTATTCATTTTTAAAGAATGGATGGATGGTTGGTTGCGTCTTAAAATGTAGTTCATCTATTCTTTTAAAGTTGACACAATCATTTTATCACGTTTATCAATGTACATATTTAACAATTAATATTTTTAATTAAGGAGATTTTCAATGGTAACATTTATTATTTTATTAGTCATTGGTAGCCTTAAACTTTTACAATTTATCAAACATTACATTAATGTGATTTTTGGTCAAAATTTTGTCAAATCAAACTCTTCTTCTTCTTCTTCTTCTTCTTCTTCTTCTTCTTCTTCTTCTTCTTCAGACCAAGGTCAACTTTTTAATTTAAAAAAATAAAATTTGTGAAAATGTGGTTCATTTGGTGAGAAAGGACCTTTAAAGGAAAGGTGGTACATAAAAAGAACCTTATAAGTGATAATAGGTTGTGAGTTGGGACCTTACTCCATTTTCTTGGAGTTTATCACCGGACTCCAGCGTTAACTGTTATGTGTTAGGCACATGATGTTAAAAAAGACCCTCTTCCTATAATTTCTTGTTTTGCAAGCCTAAAAAATTGTTCGGTTATGGTTTTGGGATCATTTTGGTCTTTTAAGGGTCTTAGTTGAAGTTAAAATTGGCAAAAAAAAAAAAAAAAAAAAAAACCTAGGTTTCTCTCAGTTTGCGTGCCATTATTTATAAGTCGAGAAAATTGCTCACTGTCGTCGGAATTTGAGGCTAATACGTACAAGGAATTTGAGGATAAAATTGACAAAAAAATCATAAACATCTCAGTCTTGTACCGAGTCATTTCATAGCACGCAAACCAAGACAACTTTAGTAATTTTTTTGCCTATTTTGACCTTAAATTGGGTCTTGAAGGCTAAAATGACCTCAAAACCTTAATGAACAATTTTCTTGGATTGGAAATAACAGTACGCAAACTGACATATTTCTTAACACACAAAATAGACCTGATCAAATGTCGGGCCGGACTTAAGATGGGTTTTCATGTCTAATCTGTTCAGCCAGGTTCGGTCAGATAACGGGCCTGATTTCTTAAATGTGGTTGGCCATATCGTGTGGCCAACCATCATGAGGTTTACTTCATTAGTGTTATAGGGGTTACTCACTCGGTCAGTGTTACAAGGGTTATTTCATCAATGTTATAGGGGTTACTCAATCAATGTTATAAAGGTTACTCGGTCAGTGTTATAAGATTACTTTGTACTTTTACAAGCGGCCACATGGTGTGGCCAACCGCACACAAAACATTTTGTTGCATAAGCTATTAGCTATTTAGCCATTATATACTTTTTACAATATTATTACCGGAGTAGCATTGTAATAAGTACAATGAAAATAAAAATAAATACTTTACACAAAAATTGTGGCCAGCCACATACGACAGTTTGTGATTATTCATAGATAAAAAAAATTACTAACACATATTGAAAATTATAGCAATATAGCATGAAATTCGAATATTAATGAATAAACATCTTAGAAAGAATTACAACATGAATTTTGAATATATACATATATATATATATATATATATATATATATATATATATATATATATATATATATATGATAAAAACAAGATTCATAAGTCAAAATTAAAATAAAATAACATAAAAAAAATAGAGCACAAACTCAAAAATAAATAATAATAATAATAATAATAATAATAGAAAACAACAATGCAACATTTGTGTCAAAAAAAAATGAAAATAAGATCAACATTCATAAATAAAACAACATTTTTTATTGAGAAATTGGGAAATTACAAATTGAAAATAAATAAATAAAAATAAAAAATCCTAATTACAAGTACTTGATAAAGATCCAAAATAGGAACTTTATTTTGATGAGGCTATTAACCTTTTTATCTTAACGAATTCTTGATATTGTATGAGACGAAATGAACTAGAGTGAGAAGAAGGGCATGGCAGCTGGAATAGTTGGAAGAAGGAAGAGAAAAAATGAAATATTAAGACTAGGGGAAGACTAGGTTAATCACATAGATAACATTTTATGTTTAGGAAAAATTGCCTGGAATAATCCCACCTTTGGGTCGGGGCGTCCGCCTACAATAATCACACATTTGGGTTATTTTTAAATAATTCGACCTTTGGGTTATTTTTAAATAATCCGACCTTCATACTCAATCCGCTCATAATGGTCTCGAGTGACCAGTAACCGGTTGAAGTGGTAATTTTCTTTTTATTAAGTTTAATTTACACATGTCACAACTTGATTTGTCCAAAATAAAAAAAAAATTAATAAAAAAGAAAAGTAAAATCAAGTGGGCAGGTCTCATGAGATCTATGCCAGCCGCAAAAATTAAACGAAGGTCGAAGGACCATTCGATATGATTAAGGGGCATAGCGGCGCCCTCGACTAGCGCCATTCCCCGACCGCCCTCTATCACCCCCCCACCGTGCTTACGGCTCTATACCCCAACCAAACTTGCGGAGGCCCCAAGTCCTTTCTATTCCTCGGTAAGCGAACCTTTAGAGCATGGGGACGGTATTCGCTTTTGACTGATGGAAAGCATCTCTCTTTTGTCCCTCCTGACCAAACCCGAAAAAAAGAATTTAGTGAGCTAAAAAAAAAACCACCACCACCTAAGTCACACCACTTCAGCCACCACCATCCCTACCACCACCTAAACCCAGACCCTAGAACCACCGCCACCAAACCAGACCCAAAACCAGACCCTAGGAACCCACCTTCGAAAAATTGAAAACCCACCAAACCAGAGCCCAGGAAACAGGTTGGGGAGATCAACACAACCTGAATCGAGGTCGAGGGAGGACGACACAATTAGAATGAGGGACAGGGAAGATCGGCACGTCCGGAAAAGGGACAAGGGACGGGGTGGGGGCTAGGATCGGGACGGGAAAGGGGTTTTCGAGGGTAGGGATGGTTTTACAGATCACCGGGGCTTTGCGAAAATTGCCTGGGGTTGGTGGTTTAGGGGGAGGGGGTCCGGCGCCGTCTCCGACACTTTCTCCAGCGTTGTCGCCGGTGCCATGGTTGGGGCTGGGTAGCAGGGACAGCAGCTAGTGGGTGGTTTCTTAATTTTTATTTTTATTTTTTCTTTAAAAAAATTTAAACTTTTTTAAAATTTTATTTTATTTTATATTTTATTTTTTTGACCAATTACAGGCCGCCACGTATCTGGTAACTTGTTATAACAAGTTGCATGACCAGTTGGGACAATTTTGAGCGGATTGGGTAGAATGGTCGGATTATTTAAAAATAACCCAAGGTTGGGATTATTTTTAGCGGACACCCGAAAGGTGAGATTATTCGAGGCAATTTTTCCTTATGTTTATCTCAATGACAAACTTTTGATTATATCAATGTATTTTTATGCCAACTTAGCACAAGTTTATTTCTCACTAAATATTTAACGATCTTAGTTCACAAAATATAAGCCCATTTTTAGTTTCTCCTTTAATTTTTAGTTTCTAATGTCTCTTTGCTGAGTTGGCTTAAAAACACATGAATCCTTACAATTTTAAAAAGTATGAGCTAACTCTTATGAATAGTATTTAGACTATTATATTCGCTAATCAATTGGGTGTTGGTGCAATTAAAGTTGTCAATTCGGGTAAACGAGTCGGGTTTGACTCGGGTTAGTGTAGGTCCAGTCAACTCGGGTCAGGTCAATTCGGGTTAATGTCGTAACCTATGTAGGTCGGGTTCAGATTGGGTCATGCTTGAGTCGGGATACTTAATTAAAATATAAAATGAACTTGCACCTAAAAGTAATAGTATTCGTAAATCGTAATTACTAAATTAAAATTTAAAATGAACTTACACCTAAAAGGTAATAGTATTCGTAAATTGTAATTATTGCTAAATTTAAATGGGTTAGGTTGAGTTCGAAATGGCTCAGAAACAATTCGGGTTGAATTTGGGTCGGGTTAATAACAAGTTATGTTGATTCAGGTCAGGTTAATAACAAGCTGTGTTGATTTAGGTTAGGTTAGTAACAGATTGGACTGAATTTCGGGTCAGGTTGTATTCGGGTCGGGTTAATAACAGGTCGGGTTGAATTCGGGTCGGGTTAATAACAGGTCGGGTTAGTAACAGGTTGGGTTAAATTCGGGTTTTGACGGGTTAAAACGGGTTTGGGTCAATCTCGGTTCAGGTCGGGTTCGGTTCAGCTCAATAATTTACGGGTTATAATCAGGTCGGGTCATCTCCAGGTCGATTCATG